ATAGTTGGGTCAAATTACATCCTCTTTGATACAGATATAGTATTAGAGTTCTTAGCTTATCATGAGGTAAATCAATCGTAGAAAATTCTGATTGCTTTGTTTTTTAAATGATTAACAGCCGTTTGGGATTGGTTGAAAAAATGTAGTAACCAATTGAATTTTAAACGTCGCCATTTTAAGTCACAATTCGCAATCTTTGCAGATTTTGTCTAAAGGGAAAATTATAAGGGGATTAGTCCATTTAAAAATCAATTCAATACGCTCTGAGCATCAATAATAACTGAGTGTAAGTTAAAAGCAAAGAAAGTTGTTTTTGAAGATTTTTTTGTGCTGTAGTTTAGTTACCTTCTACGATACGTAGTACTCTCTGTGGTAAGGTTATTCTTTCCCACCCCACACGGGCATAAAATAGGGTGGCGCAAAAGGAACGTATGGAGTTCAGTAGTGTAGTGCTACCTCGGTTATCTAATACCTAAAGTGAAGGGGAGCGTCTAGTTTTGGCCCTTGGTCATGACCCGCACGTTTTGTGTCTTCTGTTTATGGGGTTACTTAAATGCCAACGTTTACTATCACAATTCTCGTTCACGCAAAGATCTAAAGGTTGAAATAAGTGAATAAGTTACTACTGTTCCACATCAAACCCGCATCAATCCAACAAAAATAGGGAAATTTACGCATGTACCGCTTCATAGTGAACCTGAACGAAAATATATCTGGCGATACCATATCAACAAACGTATTGCGGCACGCGAGCGCGATTGCCACGATCTCTTCGCACCTAAGTAATAGTATCGTTCTTAAGCCAAGCACGTGACACTAATTCGGGTTTCCTATTGGTTTAAAAAGGTATGCGAGTCAAGTTGTTTGCGTTAAGAAGAAGGGTCCTTTTTCGATTCTTGCTTGAGTTCATATTATTTGGGTGCATTAAAAATTAGTTTCGAAGACGAATTTGCGTGATATCGCGTACCTTGTTCGTGCGTTTTGCTACTTTTAAAAATTTGAAGTGGATTAAAATTGTATTTTACGCGAATTTATAAGAGTAGGCGCGTGCTATTTTGTGTGCGAGAGATTTCAATTCAATTTAAATGGAGATTAAAGGCTTTGCACTGGATCGAAAAAATCATTTAATCCCGCCCCGAAAAGGCATGTTTAACCAAAATCGGGTAGTGGTGAAAACTGAATTTGACGTAATTAATTAAAAATGGATATAGTGAGCTTTTGAAGTAGCTACATCCGAGGTTAATTGGGCGTATAGATGTGGGGGTAATGTATGTTGACAACATACATATATATACCTACGCAATATTAGTAAATTAGCACATCATTTGCGAAATGACAGTTCAGCTGTTGCTAATGTTGCAATAATTAACAGTGAATAATTGTAGTACATAAAGGGTGTCACATTATTCCGCCTATGAATTATACGTAGCATTGCCGTAATTCCAGGCAATTATCGGTCTCATACATTTGCATGACATGCGACTAATGCGCCCTGAATTATGAACCCAATTGTGAAATTAGATATGGAATATACCTGAGCTCCATTGCGAAAACCATCTAATGGAATTGGTCTCTCTATGTGCTTGAGTAATTTATGGATAAGATTAATATTCCTGCTAACTCCTATTAGTTGTTTCACCTCCTTCCCCTCCGGTTTACAAATTAACTAATGCCGAATTGAATCGATACGCCTTAGAAAACGGTCTCATTTCAAATACAATTTTTTTTCGCGTACGCACGGATTACAATGCGAGGCGTCGCAACGCTGATCAATGCGTCTGGCTTACGAAACATTTATTGGTCAAATAACCACAGGGCGGGATTATTATCCCCTCTTGTTTCCGTGATTCTATATTAAACATGTTATTTCTTATTACACTCTGTTTACAGGACCTTACAGTTTTAATTAAAAAATGTACTTTTCGGACGATATTAATTACTTAAAATTTACCATTTGTTTTAATCCAGCTCTCTTCATTTATTCTATGACCTGGTGCAATTTAGCCCAATTATTTTAGCAAACGACACTTTAAAAAGTTACCTAAAATCCGGGCGGAGGGAAGTTCTTTTATATGTTTTTTTTATGATCCACTTAACACTCGACTGTCAGCGAAGATCTCTAGAAGAAACGGAACAGTAACTTCAGAGGAACATCACAGGAACAGTGAGAGGAATTTTATGGAGGATTTGATTCGAGATAATCTAGGCGAAAAATATGAAGAACTTGAGGAGGAACCTGAGAAGACAGTTGACACACCATTGTAACAGCTTAGTTACAAGGGTTGAAGACCCCACTTGCATAAAATAATTTTGAACCTCTACGGCACTGGCAAACATTTTTTATAACTGAATATTTTATCTTTACCACGTGATAAAGTGGGGTTCAAAATATACACACACCTCTGAATGCTAAACACAATTTAATCCAACCAAAGGGATGGTCACACCGAAATTAACTGGAAAGTTCCCTATCAATGAAGAAAAATAACCCAAATCCTTTGTTTGGATTCGATTCTTATCAAAATCTGTTTTCTGCAAATGGTTCCCATAGGTCGATTCCTTTAGGAATATTAAAATTGCTTCAAACAAAATTAATATACAGATTCCTTAAAAAAATCAGTCGCTACTTTATACAAATCAAAAATTAAAATTAAAATAACTTACAGTAATTGACGTGGGTAATATGCCGCTTCCTTTAGAAATATAGAAACAAATCGCTTTGATTTACAGTTGACTTTTTCCACCACCCTGTCGTCAGCCGTTCTATACAAAATTGTATTTATCACAGAATGCGCTATCCAATGACGTTACTTGAAGAATTGGCTTTTCTTTTTTTGAATCTCATAACAACGCTCTTAATTAATTTGAGTTTTACATGAAATTTACCGCACCGTATCTATTCAGTTTCATTAATGATAAGGGGATATTGTTTCGCTTTCCTGCATTTGCTTTCCTCTAGATACTGCTACGGGATCCGATTATTTACTGTTTACGTTTCTAGTTAAACCAGCTGTTGTTATTAGGGATCCATAAGAAGAAATTCTGTGTTTATCACGAGTTTTAATATCAGTTTATTTAATCCCGTTGTTATTTGAAAGGCGCCTCTCCGACTCGAAAATGTTTCTTGCGAAAATGCAAAAGGCGGAAAGATCCCCTCTAAACAAGGGCTTGACCTTTTATACTATTCGGCTATGCTATGGAGGAATAGACGGTTGTTCAAGCCGACGCAGCGTATTGGAATAAGATCGTCCAAAAATTACAACTTTTTTCATTTTGTTTGTTGCCTTTATTTATGAGTGGGCAGGGTTTCTGCCAAGGCTGCTCTACCAACCCTTACAACATTTACAAATACTCATGCCCGAACCCGGATTCGAACCGGAGACCCTTAGCACCGCAGTCTGGACTGCGCCACACGAGATTGTGCGGCCTGCTGACGTCCAAAAGCTCTGTAATTTGTCCTAAAATTTAAATTAATTCAGAGCGCTGCTTCTGATTGGCCGGATTGAAATTTCTAAAATCGGTAGTCCAATTACCACCTTTTATTACTTAGATTTCCTGGGGTCGGTATAATATAAAGTTTATTGCTCGTTTTAAATTAACCTAGAAAACCAAACTCGTCAAAGTAGTTATTTAACGAAGCTGAAATTTTAACATATTAATACGCCCTCGTCTTCTAAGTGACAAAAACAAAGTGCGCAACAAAAATAATTAAAATATCTTTACGGAAACGGTTACAAACGGCGAATGAATTGCAGCTTTCTTTACGGTAGCAGCGGATGAATCATAACTCTAAAAATTACATCTTCTATCTTCAACTCATAAATACTTTCGGCACGATACTTTTCGTAACGCGCCCTCTTCTAGACAGAGTGATCACTAAAACTGGTAAAAGTCAAGACGGAAAATGGTTGCTTCGTTACAAGATGTACACGTTGTTCTCGCTCTTATTTCCAAACATACTTTCATTCATGTTCGCTCTGAAGCGGTGTATGTGCAAATTTTATGTTGAATAAAATACAAATTCGACAAACTACCCTTTGAAAACAACTAAGCGACCACCTGGTTACACCTTCTTAGAGGTTAACGTGATAAAGCACCATTTTTTACAACACTTATCTGTCGATAATAGGTTGATAAAAAGAAAATCACAATCATCGCATTAAACGAAAGGTTTTAGTAAAGAATTAAATAGCTTGAAGCCTTTTTGTTGTGGTTAGGTAGGAAATCCAGTTGTAATTGGTTTTGGTAGCGGTGTCTACGCAAACACAAAGGCAGATAAGCGAGACAATTTTGCCCGTTATTTCTGTAAGGGTTACAGATCTAATTTTGGGTTTGAAATACTAGTTTCATTTTCAAGTTATAATTTCACGTCAACGTTTGCGTACGAGTTCCAGTTTTAATTGTCATTGGTATCTGTCCATTCGAGATGGGTAAAGTTAAAGATGGGAACGGCAGGAATGGAGTTAGGGTGCTGAGAGTTGGCAGCGGGAATCGAACCCACAACCACCCGAATAGCAGTCGGCAACGCAACCATTGCGCCGCCGACTTTTAGAACGGATGCGCTAACTTTATAAACGTCGTAATAAGATAAGCGGAACTTAGATACTAGGAGAGAGGGTATAAATACAAGTACTTCGTGATCAAAAATTAAGTTAATTAAGGGAAATTACATCGAGACCCTGGTACGATCTCCATAGAGCCTTAGCAGCACCCGAACGAGTTTCCAACAACATTTTGAGCACGAGGTATTCGAAAAATTCCACAACAGAAGACGACGAAACCATTCTATTAACGGTCCGTGCGATGTCCAGGTGAGTTCCACAGCGTGTTGGTTTCACGTACGATTATAAATAAAGATTGAGCATTTCCTACGAATGCGAAGTATGATTTTGCGTATGAATGTGGTTTAACCATTTACCTTTTCAGCAATCGTTTCGCCTCGTTATTTACTAAAATGTGTTCTTACAGTAAAGGCGATATGAAAATAAGAACCGATAACGTTGAATAAAGATATTTGACTTTTTATTTAATCCTTTACCCCTTACCCTTGAGGATAATCGGTACGACATTCTACAAAAAATTAAACATTATTACGCGATAGGAATATTTATCTTAGACCCTAGAATCAGCTAACGATAATAAGTCAATATTGTGAAAGAATCCAGATAAACTTGTCCACCTTGGTAGGCCGCTATAAGTCTGCGTCTGTCATCAGCATATATTTTTCCAGTTAGGGTTTGATTGTCCATTACCGCGCGACCCAGATACAATGGTCTCGAAGACTCATATCCCACTACAACATACCGATGGTATGATGGTAATGGGGTAGTTAGCGAATGCCATTTGTAGTAACTAGAGCTATAGACGCACAGAACCTGAAATGCACTTGTTACTGCACTTGATCTACAAAGTACGTGTTACCTTCAAAGATGAATTAATTGCGCTGACGTAAGTGACGTCAAAATTATAAGGCGCGTACACTTCGACTTCCCCAGCGCGTAGAACCGCAGGTATTACATCAACTGTTGAACGCCGAGGATCTCGAACGTAGGGAATGCTGATTTGGGCTACGTACGTAGGTTGGCCGTTTGCGTCGGTTCCTGCGGCATACGCGTCCTTCGGTACTATTCCACTGTAGTCCCTCCAAAAGTAATCTATTCGACAAACTTAAGGTGGATCGGCTGGGAATGAACTTACCCTCCACGGAGCTGATTATCGCACCGCCACAAAGTTGAGTTATGGCAACAGCCAGAAAGAAAGATAGAAGTGTCCTCATGTTCATTGGCCCTTTGCAACGTGTACTGTTTTCCCGTTCCATCGTATGCCTTTTTAAAACAGCGATAATCTTATTTGTTTTGCACGAATTAAAAATTACAATTGTCGATATAGTTTGGGGAAATACCGAGGCATTTTCAAGAATGTTTGACATTTAAATCACTTATGATAGTGCTGTTATCACTTAAAAATTTTCATGATTAAGAGCTCAATTTCACCACACCTTTTCATATCTGATTTCCGTCATTGGGTTTTACGCATTAATTTTAAAGCAGATACCGTTTCCTTTTGAATTTTTCCCAGAGCTGTTCTCTAAAAAATCACAATCCGTTAGGCTGCAACTCAACATGTAGATCAATATTTTTTTAATTTATTTGTGAAAAATCCAGAGCAAAATCTCTCCATATCGCGGTCGTGAAACGGGCCCCTACATCAGTACCTACCATTTAGTACTAAATATGTACGTACTTCGCCTAATTTGAAATGCTATCCATTGGGGATTTTTGTAAAAGAAGCATCATAGTACCTGTATACGCCAATCACCATATCTTAAAAAATCAATCGAATGTAAAAACGTAAAGTTGTAAAAATAATTCAATCTTTCAGTTTCCATCAAATACAGAATATTTCAAAGCATTTAGCTTAAACATATGGTCCTTCGTGAATGCCGGATTTATGACTCAATAATCCATATCTAATTACAGAAGATTGCATTAATTGGATATTGAAAAACAAACATCCAGTGCCGGGAAGACATTTCTCCAGCAAGCCGTTACATCTTCAAGCACAGTTCTAGTCACCCATTTCCAGACAAGAACATTCAGTGCCGAGACTAAAAGAGTTTTTCAGCTGGTCAGAGAGTTCCACAAGCGATTCGTTCAACTTCCATTCGGACGGCAACTAATCTGTAAAGTATTACTTATTTGCATTAGTACTAATTATGGAATCATCACAAGAAATGCGAAAGCTTCGTGTTAAACGTGGTAGTTTAAAAGCTCGTTTAACTAATTTTCAAACTTACATTGACAAATGCAGTTCTCAGTCATATATAATTTACGGGGGGGAAATTAAAAACAGAATTTCATCTTATAAGAGTTTGTTGGATGAATTTCTTGCTATACAATTAGAAATTGAATGTCTAATCAAGGACGAAGATTTAGAAAGTGAATATAATGCCCGTGAACAATTTGAAAACGAGTGTCATTCAACAATATCCCGTGCGCAAGGTTTGTTACAAGGCAATTATGCAGAAAATGAGGCAAGCTCAGGTTCTAACTCAAATGATAATCAAAACTTTAATCAGTACTCGGAAGTAAAGTTGCCTACAATAAATTTACCAACATTTTCAGGTGAGTCAAGTGACTGGTTACAATTTAGGGAGTCATTTGAAAGCTTAATTAATAATAATAGTCGTATTAGTAATGTTCAACGTTTGCATTATTTGAAGAGAGCCTTACAGGGTGAAGCTTTTGAAAGTATAGCCAATATTCAAGTTACAAATGACAATTTCTCAATAGCGTGGGAATTATTATGTGAACAATTTACAGATAAAAGAGCATTATTACATGTACATACTAAAGCTTTATTTGATATTGAATCTATCAAAAAGGAATCTTCAAAAAATCTCGGCCATTTAGTCGACCATGTAAGAATGCACTTAATGTCAGCATTAGGACAACTTGGAATACTTTAATTACATATTTAATATTTACCTACAAAACTTGATCCAGTGACAATCAGAGAGTGGGAATCTAAAGAATTTCTAAATGATTCACCCAATTTAGAGAATTTACTTTCATTTTTAAAACAAAAGGCAAAAATGCTTAAGAAAATGGAAGAGAAGAATACAGAGGCAAATTCAGCCCAAACAGTAAAGGCACAATCGTCCAAATCACAAACAGTTTCTAAACAAAAATTTAAACACTATACTCAAAAAAGCTTTCATACTTCAAACCGTTTATATTCAGCGTGCAATGCTCCAAATCACAAAATTTACACTTGCACAAAATTCTTAAAGTTGTCCGTTCCTGAAAGAATTGATTTGGTCAACAGATCCAATTTATGTGTAAATTGTTTAAATCGTGGGCATCAGTTGAATGATTGTAATTTCGGTCATCTACATGTTACTCAATCAGTGGCCAATTCTAATACACATGCTCAACAGTCTTTGATTTCTTTCAATTTAAGTTCAAAACAAGTACTTTTATCAACATTCTTGTTGGAGGTAATTGATACAAAGGGAAATCGTTAAGAATGCAGAGCACTTTTAGACCCAGGGAGTCAGTCTAACTTCATTAATTCAGATTTCTGTCAAAAACTTGGATTATCACTTAATCCCATTAATATTACAATTTCAGGGGCTTCATGGTAGAATCCATTCCATTTGTAAAATTCAAATATGTTCAAAAAATACTCCATCTATAGCTCTTCTTGATTGTTACGGAAATATGTGATGTTGTTCTCGAATCTCCTGTAGATTTTCAGTCTCTTTCAATACCTAAATGCCATAAATTGGTAGATCCTCAATTTCATAATCCCAAACCAGTTGATTTACTGATAGGTTCAGATTTATTTTGGGAATCATTATGTATAGGTCAAATCCGTCTCAAACCTTCAGGTCCCTTTCTTCATAAGACCAAGTTTGGATGGATAGTGGGTGGACCACTTATAAAAGGTGTTTCGTCGAATAGCTCAAACTCTTCTAAAATTCATTTACAAAATTGAACTATATACAAAGTCAGCTTTCTCCCTGGCTTTCTCGCTTCTGGGAAATAGAGGAGTGTATAGATTTAATTCATTTTCCAGGTCAGTAGCACTTCAGCGGTTTTACAATCTTGAACGAAAACTTCAGCGGAACTCCGAATTACGAGAATTGTATACTTCATTTATGAGGGAGTATCAAGAGCTTCGCCACATGTCAAAGGTAGAAATATCAAATGATACAACATATTTCTTTTTGTCACATCATGGGATACTAAAGGCTGATTCACTCACTACCAAGCTTCGAGTTATGTTCGATGGGTCTTGTTCTTCATCCTCAGGTTGGTCTTTAAACGACATACAAATGGGCGGACCAATCATCCAACATGAGCTATTTTTTATCTTACTCCGATTCAGACTACATAAATATGTCGTCTCAGCCGACGTATGTAAGATGTATCGACAAGTTTTAATTAAACCTTCACAGAGAAATCTTCAACAAATTCTTTGGAGAGAAAAACCTTCAGATCCTCTCCTCTCACAGAGTTTCAATTAAATACTGTCACATATGGCACTTCTTCAGTTTCCTACTTGGCTATCAGATCTTTTTTTCAACTAGATTTAGAAAATATCAATACTTATCCAGCCGCCTCTAAGGTCATCCAAACTGACTTTTATGTTGATGATTGACTTACAGGATCTGATTCATTAACAGATTTAACTAATATTTGCAAAGAAATATCATCAATTCTTAAAAGTGGCTGTTTCGAACTTCGTAAGTGGATCTCTAATGAACCTCAAGTTCTTAGTCAGGTTTCAGATTCCATTTCAGAACTAAATACATTAAATTTAGATTCAAAGGAATATACGAAATTGTTGGGCATATTTTGGTCATCAATTTCAGACATACAATTCTGAGATTATAGATAATCCTTCAAAAAGGGTCACAAAATGTATAATTCTCTCTAGCATTTCACAAATTTTTGATCCATTACATATAAACATATCAATCATTTCACAATACCTAGACATGTCAGATGCATCGATCCTGTTCATACTGAACTCCATACCTTTTCTGGTGCTAGTGAAAAGGCATATGGTGCCTGTACATACAGGGTGATTCCTATAGTACCTGCCACCGTTTGGGAGCGTATAGGGGGTGCCTAGGGGAGTATTTTGATATAGGACACTTGGGGTCGGAAATCTAAAATAAGGGCGCCAGAACCAAATTTATCTTCTGGAATTTCACGCCTGTATGTAGGCAACCCAACCGACCGACGTTTCGCGCGGAGCGATGCAGAGCGAGTTAGCGCGAGGAAGCGACATGGGAGGGAAGGAGGGAAAACGACAGTCAAAAGCAATAACGTTTACAAGTGTTCAACGTGGCCACCGTTGTTCTCAATGCACTTCCTACATCTAGCCAACTATTATTATACTATTGCCATAGTGTTTATTCACTTGATACGCGTCGTTGCAGACGGGATTTCGTGGGTTTAAACAAAATTCTGATCAAGTGTCAGCCACACATCGCCGCCTGAGATCGCTCCGTGTGCACCGCCGCCGGTTGGGTTGCCTACCTACAGGCGCGAAATTCCAGAAGGTAAATTTGGCTCTGGCACCCTTATTTTAGATTTCCGACCCCAAGTGTCCTATATCAAAATACTCCCCTACGCACCACCTACACGCTCCCAAACGGTGGCAGGTACTATAGGAATCACCCTGTATATTCGAACCATTGACGCCCAATATAAAATATATATTTATTTGCTTTGTGCTAAATCCAGAGTTTGTCCAATAAAGCCACTTACAATTCCTCGCTTAGAAATTATGCGGTGCTCTCATAGCCGCAAAACTGTCAGAAAAAATTCAAAGAGCTTTAACAGTTCGGTTCAGCGGCATTTTTCATTGGACAGATTCTACAATTGTGTTGGGTTGGATAAACATGTCATCATCTTCATTAAAACCATTTGTTGCTAACAGAATTTCCGAAATTCAGAGCAAAACCCTACAAGAAAATTGGTACCATGTGAATTCCACATCAAATCCTGCAGATCTATTATCACGTGGTACTACTCCAACTTCATTAATATCATCTAATTTATGGTGGCATGGTCCAGATTGGCTTTCCCTTTCTTCATCACAATGGCCTTTTGCATCTGTGTGTCAAAAAACAGTACTTCCTGAAATAAAAAAATCACAAGTGCTACAGACGATAACAAGAATTCGTCCAATAATAAATATAGAACGATTCTCAAATCTTTCAAGGCCTCAACGCTCTATGGCATTCTGCTTACGTTTTATGCATAATGTCAAATCAGATAATAAGTTACATGGGCCATTGAATAATGATGAACTTTCAAATTCACTGAATAATCTTT